TTTACATTTAGCACGTTCATAATTGTAACGTCTGGAGAATCTCGAGGATAGATTGGGATGTCGTTTAATGTAATTAGTGACCCAATTTTTGCCGACTGCAGATGATGGGTTGATTCCGCGATGCGAAAGTAGAACATTCGCCATTTCTTGCACCATTGAAGGTCGTGGAGCTGAACCACGAGCGTCCATAGAGAATATCCATTTCTGAAGAGATTCCTCTTCAGGATCGGTCAATTCATGAGAGTTGGCGCGAGAAATCGCGCGGTGTTGTATACCATTCAGGCGGGTAGAAAGGGTGGATCTTGGGACGTTAAAACGGCGCACCACTTCACGAATTGAAGAGATTTCTTGATTCTTAAAAGCCTGGATAGCTAGTAAGATCCTGCCCTCCTGATCTATTGAATTTCGAGAGGATTGAGTACGAATTGGTGGCATGGTGGGTGGTTGAACTAACTAAGATCTCATTCATGGACGTGTTTTGGTTGGGGTGTCCAGCTCGCTTGGGAATTACGTTATTTAACGAGAGGAACTAGATCAGCAATACCTGATAATGAGTCAAATCAATCTGACAAGGAACACAATGTCACTAAGCTGATTCGATTCGAATCATTCTAACACCGAGTGACGCGAATTCTGTCGTAACCAGCTCTTTGACACTGGAGTGGCCAGTTGATGACATGGCCGAGCATCAGCTTTGGAAAATGGAAAAATATACAAGCTTTCTTATAGAGAACAGGAAAGAAAAAAGATGTAATAAGATTGGACAAGAATATAGACAAATGGCTCCTCTGAGCTCTATTTTATGTCCGAACATAGAGAATACAATTAAAAAGAAAAACTCAATCACTTAACTTCAGAAGTACCAAGCCTGTACGTGGATTTCTGTTTCTCTGCCTCCACTTATTCAGGGTTGTTATCAATCGAACTGTCAACAGCCCATCCATTGAGCATAGTGTAGTCAGAATACGGCGAGGTGCCATGTAGGGTCTTATAGTGCTTGCGAGGCCCACACTCTCTCAGTTTGGCAGAATCTGCGTTGACGCACCGCTGCTGCATGATAGCCGCGATTTGCCGGCCCGCATCCTGTCCTTCATAGTATGCACCGTGAAGGAATCCAAAGAAGGTCGGGCTGGTGGCCTCACCGGCAAACCAGAGCCGGCCAACATTGGCCCGGAAGTTCTGATGCATCTCCAGAGATGTGGCGGGAGGCCAGTTAGAGTAGCTTCCGTAGGCCCAGGGCTCTGTAGTCCAGCGTGGGTACATGAATGCAGTTGGCTCGGGGATATCCTTCTCCGGGAACATCTTGCGCAGAACTTCCATTGCTTCCTTCTTGGTCTGCTCGTCTGTTTGGCGCTCGGCTCGATAGGCAAGCTCGTTGGTCACGGTTACGAAGATGATGTTAGAATCTGGGAGGAATCCGGGAGTGGATAGTGATTGCCAGATCGGGTACCAGCCACGGGTGACAGGATCAGCGTAGAGGTGGTATTGTGTCTCCGAGGGCCAGAAGGTTTCGTTGAACTGGAAGAAGATCTTGGTGTATGTCCCCATGGTGAACTTCTGAATGGACTCCTGCTTCCAATCTGGCAGTTCTGGTGAGAAGTTGATAGCGCCATTTTGCAGAACCCCCAGTGAGAATGTGGTAATTGCATAGTCTGCTTCTACACAGCTGCCATCTTTATTGTGAACGGTGACACCACGGTCTGAATACGTGATGTTCGTAACCTCGGTGTTCAGGTGAAGACGGGGGTCATTGTCAATGAGAAAAGTCGATGCAAGACCTTTAAGAATGACATTGAATCCGCGCTGGTCAATGACGAAGTTGTCCTGGTCGCTGAAAAAGTTAGAGGTCAAGTTATCGCCCGCACAGCCGAAAGCAAATGAGCTCTCTATTGGGGAGTAAGCAGCTTCAAAGTCTAGTGCAGATGTTAGTTGATCGCGCTAGGTGCATTTAGAAGACATCTAGCTTACCCCACGACCACCAGTCAACAGCCTGTGCTTCCATGTCATGTACTTTGGGATTCCAACCCGCCAAGGCCATGCCTGACTTGAAGTTTCGATCCTGAAGATTCTGAGTAAGAATCTCACCTGCTTTTTGGTTGGCAATATCATACGCCTCATCATAGGCGTCAAGTAGATTACTATAGTCGGAGTAACCATCCTTGTTGTAGGTTAATAGGTTGTCGTAATTTGAGAATTCGGTGTTCAGTCCGTATTTTTGAGCCTATTCGAGGTCAGCGTGAGTCCAATCTTGGATCATGTGAGACTTACCAAAACCCAGATCGGGTTCTGCGGGCCTCCTTTGCTTCCAATACCTTGCACCTGTTTAACCTGTCAGCCGAGTCCTTTCATGCGACTGAGATATGCATACCCAGTTGGCACCCATTTCAACATTATAAGGCTTTCCATCTTTGTCTTTGCCAAACGGTTTGTGCCAAGCCCGACCGCCGATAGTATCGCGGTACTCGAGAATCACGAAATCGTGCACCGAAGCATTCGTCAGGGCTTGCTGTAAATTGTCAAAAACAGTCAGACAAACAAAAGAGGAAACTCACAGCAGCAGTAATACCAGCCACACCACCTCCCCTATACTTGGTGAGTTTTCAAGCCACGAAACAAGAATTCCAGTGCTTACAAGATAGCAACTTTAGTCTTCTTGCATGTTCCCTCAGTTCGAGTCTGGTGAGGCACACCGATAGTAGGCTGGACAATACCCGCTATCGCGGCCCAAAGCGAAAGGTGCTGCAAATGCATGGTGAAGCTCTCGAAATCTGAAAAGGGGATGAATTGCAAAATTTCGTCAAGATATCCCAGGTAAGGGCTGGATACAGAGACAAGATCTCGCAAAAGAGATCTACAAGACAGGTGATTCGCTCCGACCCGGACTACGCAGGCGTATAGCGGCCAGGGGTCGGATGCGGTTTCTTGTAGTATTGGTGCCTAAAGATGCCTGATTCTTTACCGCCTTTGAACACCGCTCTATACAGTGTATTGTAAAATGAAGCTCCTATAGTGGAGCTATTCCCACTGTGCAAATCTCTGAAAACGCCTTTGGCTAGGTATAAAAGTCCCCTCCAATCGAGTACATCTATCCCACGGTGGGGTTCACCTCGAGGGGAGCTTCGAACCGCGGCTAGAGGAAGCGAACTCAGCTCTACGAAGGGTTGTGTCATGGTAATTCAGGTATTCACATTTTCTGCCGGATTTAATCCGGGCGTCCTGAGAAATCTTCAGGCACAAATACTACAAGAATCCGCATCCGACTCCTGGCCGCTATACGCCTGCGTAGTCTTTCTACAATCGGGTGAAACCAGTCTTGATAAGAATTATCAAGTACACTACTTTAAGTTAGAGAAGGGGCAACCTTTTGAATGCAATGCTTAATATATAGTGCTTTTTTAAGATGCTCTTTACTTAGTACACCTCTATATGGTTTCGTTTCTTGAACACTAATCTCGGCATTAGATTGATAACAACTGACTCACAAAAGTTCTCAATCATCATATTTTTTTTTCCCTTGAGCTAGTCTGAGTCTAGAGGAAACTGAGGCTTCGACGGAAATCGTTTTAACTTGCAAGCATCCTTTGTATGTAGTTGCCATATAAACAAAGATGCTCCAATGCTGAAACCAATGGTGCAAACCATGGTTGAAAGGGAAAAGGGTAAAATACCCGGAAAATCTACGGACCGCCTTGGTGTTGCCCACACAAATTGTATGTTTATGTTTAGTCAGCTTTGTCCGCATAGATTGGAAAAAGAGCTAATTTTGTCATTTTAGTTAAGAGAGAACTCAGAGTATTTTTTCATGTCCGATTTATTGATAGTTGCATACAGTATTGAAACCATAGATCTCTGTCATCTAATTTTTGTAATTTGTGGGGCCCACCAACACCGGGTGTGTGCATAGGTGTGTTAGTGTGGGCTTGCCACGATGTGTAGAAGCTTTCAAGGTAAGCCTTTGAGACTCGACCGCTCAAGCAGCCATCCTAGTGGCAATGGACCTATGTACGGCGCTGGTGATCTACAAGTTACCCCTAGACCCCGTCACGGTGCTTGTGGCCAATAGAATTATTCGTCACGCTGTAAAAATCCTAGAAAGGCAGCTGAGACAAATAGGAAACACCTGATCATTGCCCTTACGGTGGTGTCTATTTGCTTTTCCCGCAGATTCATATAGACCAGGAGATGATGGGTCAAGTTTGCCGATGTCTTAGATCGGACATGGCCCAAACGCTTCTGCGCGAGCTCCTGACTTCAATTGCCATCTCGATGAGACCGGGTTAGTTTGAGGATATTTCGAGGGATTTCATAAATCCACAACGTGGGAGCGTGGGAATTATTTGCGGGGCCCCTTGGAAGAAGGGAAATTTCCTCATTTCCGGAGTTCCATAATTGCCAAAAGAAAACATCTTTGTCCATAGATACAAAAACGTGATAGACATAGCCATGGTCTTAGGAAACATGGCAGGAAACGTGCAAGTGTTAGGTGGCCCCGGATTTAAGCCACAAGGAACAAATGCAAAGAGAAAGAGACAAACCGAATAACAAAAACACCACCGAGCCATGCAAAGGCCATGTCATATGCCATCGGACGTTTTCCTGAACGCCATATTAGAGACACCGAAGGTTCAGTAAGAGGGGACCAGAAGATTTTTCTGGGCAAAAGCAAAGATAAGAAGAAAAGGACGTGCATGAGATGATTCTTTTCAGCGGAAGGCGTAAGAAGGGCGAACCATTTTCAATGCTTCTGGATTCAGAGAGAGCTGCTGGTAAGGCGAGCTTCCTGGGTCATAGTACAACCCTTCGATGTGCCCGTCCTCTCGGCGAAGAGATATGTAGTAGAACCCGGAAATTGTTAGACCCTGGCGAGCATCGGTTGGGGTGATGAAACATCTTTCTGGGGCATGTTAGCAAAAAGAGAATGTACAATGGAAGGGTACACGATCGTCCGCTACTTGCCCTTCCATCTCATTAAAATCCAACCCTTGGACAATTCCTCTGTAATCCACTTCCGACTCACAAGTTTCTGAGCCATTTCAGTGTCTGTCAGATCCTTAAACGGTTGTAGTTCACGCCAGTATGTGCTATCAATGTCTGTATCTGCTTTGAAGTTCTTTGTCTCCAGCGTGTGATTGTTGAAATCGATGATCTCACCCTCCAAGAAAGTCACAATATGTGCATCGTGGGTGGGCGACGTCTTGTCAGGGATGTTGTAAGCCTCCATAGTGCCAGATAAAGTCATTTCCTCAGGGTTGATTTGGTGTATCGTGACCTTGACAGGCCAATTTTCATCGCGGTTGTTGGCTGAGTATCGGAGGCCACTTCTGGTAGAAACGCTGATTCGGGTGCTATCACTTCCATTTACAATAACAGGCTCACTGGCAGCATTCGGACTGGGAACATGTCGCGATATCACTGAGAACCCGGCACTGGCAGCTCGTTGACAGCCCGAAAAAGCCATTCCAGATCGAAGCCACGAGCATGCCGCAGGTGGTTTAATGTTAGGAGTGTATAGAATGAAGTCTGTATCTCTCCAAGACTTGCTATCCATCGAGAAGGACAGCTGACTTTCCGCTAAGACATACATACTATCTTCAAGGGAGTTTGAATACCGAACGCGATCGAGATATTGGATTGTTTCCCCCAGCACGTTGCTCAGATATGTGTCAGGGTGTAGCTGGCGATGAGCGGCAGCCCGAGCGCGCAGGTCGTTATGGGTGATGCCGGTGTGATGTGAGTCGCCGCGCACCGTAGGTCGATAGCGGTATCCCCGAGGTGCAACCGCTATTGTATTTCCAGTGTCCTCTTCTGCAGTGGTGATATCTGAATAGCGATCGATGATGTAATTCTCTAGTGTGCGGCTTCTTGAAAGACGAGGCTGACGCCTTGCAGATTGTATCAGTGCCGCCACTGCGGAGATCGATGTTCGAGATTGATTAATGCCCACTAATGTGGCATAATCATGGGGTATCCGTTGCGCGGGGACTGGGATCTCATTGCGTGGAGGTCGTGCGGGGGGTGCATCGCGGCTTGAGGAAAGTAGGAAGGGCTGCATCTGATCATCTTCCGACTCATCGCGCGCAGCACCATCCTCATCATCAGACCCGGGTGCCCATCCATACAACGATCGTGAGTTGGGTACTTGGCCCTCGTAGTTTGGCATGTCGGTTGGTCTCTCCTGGCGACGGACAATCGGGATGCGACGGTTGAGTTCAACGGATGTGCGCGGGTTTGTGGGATCATCCACCTCCATGCGATCTTCGTTTTCCGGTGGCGGATTGACCGGGTAACGACGGCGACGCTGTCGGCTCAAAGAAGGTAATAGCGGATTGAAGAGGGCTGGTCGCGATCGCAGGAAGTTCACGTTGTCATCGTGCGCGTTATCGGTCTCCACAGGGGCAAGCGCAGAAATCGACGATTGGTGTGGAGAGCCAGGTGCGGCGGTCGCTAGAGAGAGTGCCGTGCCGTGCTAGGGGACATTAGCTTACGGATTATAGACTGTGATGAATTGCAATGATGAAACACACTGAGTTAGGAGGCGGCATTCTGATCGGAATGCGCCGTCAAGGAGTGTGCGGGATCGATGCTGGCCATACAAGGCCAAGGAACCAAGATATGTATAGCACCAAACAACTAAGTCCGGAGACAGATGTCCATAAATTGAGATCGAGAAAGTGTTAGATGTTGTGCTTCTAGGACTTTGGAGATGTGGAGAGACCCGCAACATATGACGTTCTTCCTTTCAGCCGGCCAAAGGCCGCCTCTGAGTGAATACGTGAACTTCATTAAACTCCATGGGGATTCTTGTCTTGATATCTTACTTTTCTGACTTGATTCCATGTTATATACAAATATCTGAGTAAAGTTATATCCCTAAAATCCAGGGAAGTGGAGCCCCCCTGTCATCCTGCAAAACATCAAACCAAGACGATGCTGACCGCATCTAAAAATGGGCAAGATGTTGTAGTAATCAGTCTAGCTGTGTGTGCAATTGAAGATCATAGTCCAATCTAAAGGGTTCACGGATCATCTAAAGAAATCAGACCTTGCGTGCAGCATTGCAATCATCGGCTAGCTGAACACACTGTAGGACCATGTTCCAGAAAGCATCTAGATCAACACCCCTTGGAATAGCAATGCCGGGACCGTCAACAGGAGTAGCAATCGAGCGCCCCAATTGACCTGTTGTGGATATATCTTTCCCGTGTTGTCCATCTGTGACAATGCTTAGAGAAAAACGCTCACCGCCCTTGTCATCAAAAGCAAGAGCTTGATTAGGATATTTGTTGGCAAAAGCTGGATTCAGCGTTGACAAGATCGCAGCTACAGCAAGAGGATCATGCAGTGGAGGCCCGGTGGTCAACCCAAAAGCTTTCTCGTATGTGGCAGCGAAGAAAGTGAGTAGCGCATGCAATATCTGTCGAAGGACAGTAGGTTCCTCCGTCGAGTAGATCGAGCCATGCAAGATGCGCGTTTGAATGTCCTGTGAGGCCAAAACCTGATGTGTGAGATCTAAGGTCATAATAGCTGTTTTGGCTGCTAGAACAGGGTTGCTAAAGATTGACTCGGAAGACTCCGGGTCACACTATGCCATCGTGTGGTTAGACGAGAGAGGGAGGAATGGAAATCTTGAAGACGCACATAGAAGTTGAACTCAGCCCATGGGGTCACATTTCCAATTCTAGACTTCTCACCAGGAAGTCTGCTCATAGGAGCATCGGTGAATCCTCCACCAACGGCACCACCCATGATGCTGAGCCCTTGGATGTGTTCAACCACCTCGGGAAATGTTGCAAATAACAATGCGACGTTGGTCAAAGTACCAGTTGCAACTACCCAGGGAGAACCCTTGGGCTGTGCAAGAAGGGCATCCCTAATAGCCAAAATAGTGTTCTTATCGATGATGGGTGCTCTGGTGGCCTTGGGAAGGAGGTCTGTCCCATCAAGGCCAGATTCGCCTAGAAAGTGTTATAAACCGTTTCGCTTGCAATGCGAGCATTACCCACCATGAATATCGGGGGCATGAAGAGCAGGCCGTGAAAATGGCTTACTGCTGCCGGCATAGACAGGGATGTCGGGCCTGCCGATTGCCTCCAGCACGCTGCCCGCATTAGCGGTTGTCTTCTCTAACGATGCATTTCCATGGACAGTGCTGATTCCAAGAAGGTTCAAAGACGGATGATGAGCAGCGATCAGAATTGCGAAGGCATCCTATCTCGTATTAACAAGTAATTAACAAGTTTCTCTCCATAATATCTTTGGGGCTTACATCATGGCCTAAGAGCAGTCAGTAATACGAGGGCGAGAGGAATACGATGAACTGACCAGGGTCGCAATCCAACCACAAGGGTGTAGGACTAGATTGATTAACTTGGTCTAACATGGTGTATACCTTAGAGCAACATATACAAATGTGAAGCAAGAGGCGACTTGGGCACTTGGGTACATTTGGCCGGACATAAACAAATCCCCGCATCAATGGAGGGAGATAAGGCTTTATCTTCAAACCCTAAGCCCTACTTTCTTAATTTGGCCAGGGTACAAACCATCAACGCTTCCAAAGTTGTCCTGCTTCTAACAGAGAACAATCTATTCTTTGATAGCTATTGAACCAACTCTTAACGTTTATGAAATGAAATGAATGATCCGCTCCGCCCCGGCCTTCAGCCGATATCTCATCTTAAGGTTGGGCCGACAACTTCCAGCTCCAGATCCACCGCGCTGCCTTCCCCGACGGCGCTTCAGCCTCCTTTGCGTCCTTCCTCCCGACACCGTACACAAAGAGATTCTGGCAAGGATGACCCGGACTCTGCCAGTGACAAGGCAACCACTGCTCTGATCCGACGCGTCCTGTGCCCCCAGGCAAGCATCTACGGGGCATCTTCCCCACAGCTTCCGGAAGAGCTGTTACCTCCCCTCACGAGCTCCAATGACGTTGATCGTCAACTCTACGCTCTTCTCGCCACCATAATAAAAGAATTTATATACTCGTGGTACTCTAAGATTACCCCTGACCAGGCTCTTGTGAATGAAGTTCTACAAGTAATCGCGCATTGCACGCGTGCACTCGAACAGAGGCTGCGTCAAATCGACGTTGCACAACTAGCCCTGGACGAGATCCCTGGCCTGGTGGAGGCACATGTACTCTGTGAGACTCGACCATTTTAAAGTTCTTCTTGTCGGAATCCATATTGGTTCCGCGGAGAGGGGACACCTTGCTGACTACACGATCTTCCAGCGTACAGACTTGCCAGGCAACGGTCACATCTTTCTGGCCTACCGACGTCGTACCGTACGCTCTATCATGAGCTAAATCCACACCCTGGTCTTTCTCCGGTACCTGATCCAGGAGATCCGGATACAATCGCAGAGCAGATAGAGAACGAAGCGGTCTATCGACGACTGCTCGCCAACGGAATCCTAGCGGTGCTTCTTCCAACGGAAGATCTCGAGAACGACATTCTCCGAGCGCTACTAGTTGATATTATATCAGATCTGATCTTAGGAAATCAAGTCAGTGGTAGGATATGCGAAGGATGGTTCATTTGGGAAACTATAGGCAAACTCGCCGCTCTAGTGGGACACAGTCAAACTCAAGATGACACAAAATCCGCCCCGGAATCTCGATTAGAGAAATTTGGTTTGCTTTCAACCAGTGATGAACTCCCAGACCAGCAGTCGGCCCCGTTCTTGGCCACAGCTTGGATATGGGACCTTCTGCAAATGATTTATCTTGGTTACGTCGTCTTGCGTTTCATTATGACAGGATTGTTTCGTGTCGCATCGAGTCCAGGCCCTTCTTCGCACGGTGTCGGTGTTTCACCTGCATTACCCAACAGCCAGAATAGCGAGGGTATGGAGTCGTCAGATGGCATCACAAGTAGGCGCCCGGTTCTCGACTATCGGATGTACTCCATGGTTTCCCAGATACTGGGAATGTCATGGAGAATGCCATGGCTGAGTGGCTTGCTCGCTCTATTCCAACACCTTATTTTGGCAGGCCCAGGCAGGATCGGTGCTACGGACGGAATTTTTGATAGGTGAGTTTTTGTTCTATTTTTTCTTTTTCGTTTTCTCCGGAAACTTCTCCTTCTCTGCAACCCCTCAACGCCCCAACTCCTCTTCTTGAGGGCTCAGGCATTTATAAATCAATGACTGTGGAGCAACGGTGCGATCTCCGAACACGATCTACGGGTCAAGTGTCACTTGTGCGAATCAGGGTGGAACATGAAGCGGTTCGCTCGCATGCTGCGTCGGTCACTTGATCTGTAACCTTGCAAGGCTGCATTACCCGTGGGAGGGATTACGGTCATCTTACGACCTTACGAGGTCTCAATACTGTACGGTCATTACCGTCAGGCCTGCTTGGCTGTTCTGGCATCAGATTGGTCGCCCTCAAATTGGTCTAAGCGACAGTTTTCTTTCTTTTTTTCTTTTCTTTTCTCTTTTCCAACAGGGATGACCATGGGCTGCCCGCAGATGTATCCGTCTCTGGGACTTCTTTGCGAATTTTCTTGAATGTGATAGCGCCAGGGCCCGGCCCTTTCCGTGCCGCTCGTCCACATTTTCTGTTGCAAATCTTGAGATGCCAACATGTGCCAACTTTCAAGCAGTTTGCTTTGCCAAAAAAAAACTCCACGTCTGGACAATCAAACTCTCCTTGGCATAGAGACGTGCACGAGCGAAAGAGAAAGCGAAAAAAAAAGAAAATCGTGCCGATCACCCCATCGGTGGAAGTGAGCTGAGCCATACCCCTTTTGGTGCCAAAAAGAAAAGAAATGGCCGTTGAAGCTAGTGAAATGCCCATTTGGGTCCAATGAGCAAAATTCCCGCCGGGAGGGATTGGAATTTGTAATCTGACCGAGGTTCGTGCATGAAGCCCGCTTGTGGTCCAGGTCCGCTGGGATGCTACTCGCTGAAGAGGGTACTCTGGTCGTTGATTTCTCTTTAACGTGAAAGAAAATGATATCCCAGTCCCTGCCCTGGCCCAAGCTTCTTCATCTCTCTGCCTAAGCCGATCTTACTCCGCCTCACCTCCGCTCTGTATGGTCAATTCTTATTTGATGGCAACTTGGACTTTTTCTTGTCTAAAATATACACGGGAAGAAAAAGGGATATTGTTCTAGAGAGCTCCACAGTCGAGATTCTTGCTTCACTTTTTTTTTGGATTTATTGAATTTATTGGGGGGATTTGCCCAACTGCTCCAACGTCACGATTTGAGAGACCTTTGCTAACTCTCATAGATTCCTCCGGGAAACCATTGAGGAGTACGTGTTGACCCCCACATTGTTGCCCAATCTTCTTTTTGCGACGAGGATTGCCTTGTTCCCAGCCAATACCCGTCCAATTTCTCAGATACCGGCCGGGCATACTGAACCTCCGACCTCGGTTCTGCAGTCTGCGCAAAACCTGACGCCCAGTCAGAAAGCTCTCACGCCCTCGACATCACCTAATGCTCCTATTGTGGAGGGAGTCAGTGCTGATAGCGATGTCATCAATAAAACTAATAATCCGGGGAACAGCAGCAACGGCGGCAAGATTGGAGAGGATACCTCAACAACCAAGGCCTCAGGCCCATCATCGCCTTCTATTGCAGCCAATATCTCAACACCAAAGTTTAATGACCCGGCCGAACCGGCCAAAAGGAACAGCCCATCTAAGGCGGAGATCGCCGCTATCAAGCGACGATGTGCAGCCAGTCTCCTGGCCGTGATCCCGCGCACCGTCGTACGAACTTTCCTTGGTGTTCCCTCGTCGGCGCCTCCGCTGCCCTACAATAGTGATGGTACCTGCAGCTCCAACAGTTCACCCTCTCTCGTCACATCCCCACCTCCTTCCCCCGGGGCGCTCCAGGAATCCTTCCTGGAGGGGAAGGCAAATCTGGCGCCATCGCATTCGCCTTTGCCTTCGGGTCCCTGTCCAGTTGCGTGTGCTCACCTTGCCGCTGAGCGGCTGCGCACAGACGATGATCTATCTGCAGGGGTTGATCGCGAGGAACTACATCTCCTGGAGACAATCGAGCATGATTTTCTAGACCTTTTTGCAGATGAGCACTGCAATAAACATCTAGTCTGGAGTATTATCGAGACAGTACTGGCCAATGTACTCCCCGAAATGGCGGAGTGCAGTGTTGAGGATTTACTGGAGAATCGTGGGGTGGCGTCAGTGTCGCCTGCATTTGTGTAGACTTACACAATGTTTGCGGGGTTTTCATCTAGACTTAATTAATGAGATATGCCTTACTTTATGACTAGTATCACTTCCAAGCTTTAACCAGTGTGATTGTTGAAAGATACTGGGCGGGGTATAATAGTAGGAAATAATATTAAATCTGACACAGTTCATTTGTAGGTAAACCCAATAAAATTCTGCGTGAGCAGCCCAGTTTTGAAAAAAAAAAAAGGGGGGGGGGACTCAACACGAAAAGAGCGCATGAAAGACATACAGCACAAGGGAGGGAATTCAAGGAAATAGAATGCAAAGAGCCAAAAATGATAGGGGGATAGAGCAAGCCAGCAACCAAAAAGAAACCAGGGGAAAAAAAGGAACTAAAACCCCGAAGAAGAAAGCAAGCGGTAAAAACTCCCAAGTCCAAGTCCAATGCCGTATACCCTCACATATTGCCGTGTGCCCATTGTGCATCCACCTCGTCCAGACTGGGAGTCCCAGGGCGTGTGCGCCTTTTCCCAAATCCGTAAACCAAAAGGTTCCAAAGGAAGGTAGCGGTCGCCCTCTGGAGATATGTATGTTTTTTTTTGTATGGTTGCCCATAATTATATCTCATTGCCAATGCTGGCTGAAGAGATAGGAATTGGATGTAAAGAAACATTGAAAGTTCGTACAAATGAGACCCCCCAAAAAGGAACAGAATAGCAAATAAACCACCGAAGGTAAGGAAAGGAAGAAGAGAAGGGGGAATCACAAATCATAAATCAGAGTTAAGCAGATGATGTTGGGAAAGGGGAGGGAATGTCTCAAGACACAAGAATCAGCGATGCAAAAACAAGGTGTGGGGAAACAAATGAAAAAAAAAAGAAGGGAAGATAGGCAAAAAGCAACTTGCTCAGGGACTCATCCCAAATTGTGGATGCTGCTCTTCTTCTTCACACGTGGAATGGGAGCATCCTCATGCTCATCAATGCGCGGTAAGCCACCCAGCAGAACCCCAGCCTGGCTCTTAGCAATCTCAAGTCTTTCAATTAGCTTCCCGATGGTCAGGTACTCCTGTGCGGCTAGACCAGCAGGCTGTTGGTCGAGGTAATTGATGACGATTTCCAGGGCGCGACGCGCATCATCCTGAGTTGGTGATCCCGGAGAGCTGATGGGCGAGATGATACTTGACTTGGAGGGCGGCGGCATGGAATTTGTCGTGATCTCTGGAATACTTCGATTACGCTTGATGACGTTTGTCTGGTGGATCGGGAACAGGGCGACCTTGGAGTTGTCCATTTCCAGTGGGGATTGCAGGGTAGAGACCGAAAGCGATTGCTGGAGTTCGCGCTTTTGGCGATGCGGGTCCGTGATTTCGTCGGCCGATAGAAGGCTTAGATTGATGGAGACGAGAGGGGCGGTCTGGCTGCGCGGCCGGTTGGTGTTGCTGTTGGCGGCCGGGAGACGGGATTGGCTTGTGGGTGTGAAAGGGCTGTCGGAGACCAAAGTGGAGGTTGGACTGACCATCCCCATCGAAGAAGTGTCGATTGAGGTTATACTCTTGGAATACTCGTGTTGGTATCCCCCTGTCAGATCCGGTAGTTCAGTCAGGTCTCGTTTAATTCCTTGGCTCGTTGGAGACAATGGGGATCCGAAGCCATCAATGGGGGATGTGGGCGAGGGTCCGGTGGGACTTTGAAGAGCAAATCCAAAATCTGTGTTGAGGTAGGTCGGACTGTTTGATCCGCTGCGAATATCGGTAGATCCTCTGCGCACCTTTGCCCCGAGGAGATGGTTCTTGTGCTTGAATTTTTCTAGCCAAGCTGTGGTGCAGACTTTTTCCTTGCCTTCAGGGCAGCCGCAGATGCTGGCAAAGAAGAGTGCTTTCTCTTTGATCATCTCATCATTCAGAGTATATCCTTGGCGCTGGTAGTTCCTTGCCCAGTTGGATAGCGCTTTTTCAATATCAGGGACTCTGCCCTTGGCCCGTTTGATGGGAGATCGACTCCCATCTTCGGGGTTTAGGTACTTTTCCTTCTGGCGAAGAACCTTGGAAACAGTGCTAGTCCTTGTTAGATAGAATCGAACCAAAAAAGACCAGAGATTGCCATGATACCTTCTCTCAACTCCAAACAATACTGCATGTCAAAGTCAGCCTAGCCCCTCAACGCAGATGAGAAGATATGCTTACCTCCAATATCAGTCTGCTTGGCAGTCTTGTTTTCCTCATGATATATACACATTCGCCGACGGTCATCGTCGGTAAGTGTTCTGCGTGGTGTAGACCCCCCGGTCGAGGTCTTTCGCACTGGAGGCATAAGAACCAAAGGAGACATCGATGTCGGGGTGGTGGAAACCGGAATCTCAGACGCAGCAAACGGAGAGTGTGTTGTGAGCATGCTGGGCCAAGAGTGCGATGGCATGGGTAGTGGCATGGAGGCATAGGGTGGCGGAACTGACATGCCATATGAGTCCACAGCCATGAGCTGCGATGTGCCGTAGTCGAATCCAGTATATTCGGGCATAGGAGGGGAGTGATGAGGAGAAGCGAATGGGCCTATTTCCACCCATGGCGAATTTGGGAATTCGCTCTCTGGTGCATGATGAGTCTCCGTATCCATGGGTTGCTCCATGGATCATGGATCATGGATCTCAGAAACAATGGATCCAGGGCTTCTCTTTGATGGGAGGTGGGGGGGGGGGGGGGTGATCTTCTTGTCGTGATAGGCTTGATTCGAGAGGAAATCAAAGGAAGAGAGATCAAAAGAGATCCCGGGGAACAAAGAAACAATCTAAGGGTAAGACAATCAAAACTGATACATGTTCCACTGCGTCTGTAAACCTATATCCAATTACCCAGATAAAGAGTAATGTCCCGAAGGTAGCTCTATAAACTACCGGGGAGGTCGAAGGGACGTGTATAAAAGTATACCACATACAAGGGAGAAGAGCCTGCAGGTTAGGCAATGAGGGTTTAAAGGAAAATCAGGGCACTGAAGATCAGAATTGTGCGGATTTGACAGACCAACTATGAATATTGATTGCAACTGGCACGAGAAAGACCACCGGAGAAATCCATGATAGCCTTCCCTCGAAAGTTATCCCGTCAAAGTGGACAGTGATTGGTTAAAATAAAATCAAATGTCTGTCTAAATGAGGAAAAAATTCCCAAAAGATCCAAAATCCCTTCCCCCCCCCCAAATGAATTTTAAGAACAAGTGAATTTTGATTGCGCAATATCAAAATGATCCCAGTAAATAGAGAGGGGAACGGCGTCTGGTTGGTTGGTCGTGAGATATATTGCGCAGGGGTTGCATCTCGTCAGGCCTAATTCGTTTTGCGTATTACACTGTATGTTGTAAACACTGTAAAGGTATGGAAAACGTTCGTTTTTTTAAAATGGTGTCTTCTTGTTTCTGGGATTTTTGATTTTTGATTTTGATTTTTTGTGATTTTCTTTTTTAATTTGGAAGGTCCCTTTACGTTCTCCCGTTTGACCTTCCAACCAGGGCAGACTCGACGGCAACGAGTCTGTTGTATACTGGCAATAGAACCTTGGAGATTCAAAGGTTTGAAAGTAGCGTCCGATACAAGTTACCGCTATTTCTGTTAGAAAATAGAGAACAGCGTGACACCTGTTTTCGTTGATCGATGCTTGCCAAAATTGTCTTATCCTTCATGATGACCTGTGGACCCTCGCTTTGACAAGAAGGGGTTCTCCTAAGATACTTGAGTCAAAGCAAAGATCATGCGGAGCAGAACGGGATTCGTTTAAAGCGCAGTCCTCGGAGCTTGATTTTCTCAGAGACGGGTAACGGGTCGACAAACCGCTGAACCTAAATCCCGCATGCCATCCATGCACATCGCAGGCGAGACAGGATGATCGGAGTGGATCGAGAAGAGGATAGTGGCAGGCACACTATCAACGTTCATCCCGGGAAAAGAGTCTTTATTGGAGATATCTTCATTTTTGGTCCATAAGCAAACCGTAGAATCAGAGACTCCCTACTCAATGCTTGTGCCCATAGGAGATATTTTGGAGCACGGTGCACGTTGTGGAAGTGAAGAAACCGGGTCCGAGTGATTTTCATCTCCAGTGAGCACAAATCACAAGGCAGACCAGAGGGGCCCGAGAGAGACAGAGATAGAGAGAGAGAGAAAGAGAGAGAGAGAGTGAGTGAGAGAGGAAGTAAGAGAGAGCAAAAATCCCCACAGAACAGATTAGACGAATTGAATAGAGTCCATCCAAGGAACGATTTCCAGATTAAGGTGAGGGTAGGTAGGAAGGCGGATCCCAACCTTGGAGAGTCAGCACAACCGCATCAGTTATCCACGAAGGATAACACGGCTAAAATTGAATAATGGAGCCGTAAGGACGATCTTGGGACCAATTTGCCGTCTCCGTTGCCCTATAATTGATACGACCTCATCCCTCCAGTACAAAGGCCGAACCGGTGGTTGGAGTGTCGTCCTATCAGACGGTGTCAAGGGGGATCTCTTTTGATTATGGAAAGAGGGGAATTTCCCCCATGTCGATGCGAGTTTGGCGCCAAAATCCCTCGTCTTTATTCACTACGACCCACTGCGGTCCCCTCCGGGCCGGGAACCTTGAACACTTCTCTATAGATTGATTGTTGAATACAATTTAGTTGGAAGACCAAGAGTTCGACACAGAGACATAGAGATGGACTTTGATAGTATAGAACAATGGGAGGGGGTTACGGACTCAAGAACGTAGGATACACTTCTACAACAGATCCTGCGCTCTGAGAAGGAACGGGGATCCTCTTTTGCTCTTTTGGACGAGGTCTACTCCATACTTGGACACCCAAATATCTAACAAGACCCCGCTTGTTCAACTCAGCCACGAGGAAGTCGAATGCGCAATCCGTCTGCATTATTACGGTAGACTCGGATTCGTTCTTGAAACCTGCTGGGATGAGATGTGTCTGAACGATAAAAGCATCAAGCAAAAAAAGAAAATCCAAAGGTATGAAAAGAGGTCTGACAAATCATTTCCCACCACCCGTGGACTGGAGAGGGCCTCAATTGGTCCATGTTTGAAAGTCCACTCCGTTCTTGATTTGGTCGTAATCCCTGTCATGATGCCTGCTGCCCGTGGAGTCTTTTTTTTTTAAAGCGTTGCTCCAGTGAAATCCAGAGAAACAAAAGAAGTGTACTCCGTACGACACAGTTTCAACCCTGGTGAAATTTTAGTCGTTTTTAATCAACCGGGAATTGCGCTTGCAAGTGAATAATGGGGGAATGGGGGTTTAGGGGTAATGCCGGCAGGCTGACGCCACAGGATCTTTTTAGGACAAGGATACCTTTTTCCCGGTTTCCAGTAACGCAGAGAAGAGGTAGGAACAAATCTAGACCGGTCAATGTTGCAATTACCTTGGTAAATTTGCTTCTTTCAATTTGGCCGTCATCCTTGGCGGTCCGTTTCATGGAGAAATTTCCTGTTACGCTCGGGGTACACAACGGTAGGGTGACAAGGGTTGGCGTTACTCGAGTCAGGTACCAACCGACATGTTACAATTTTGATTCTGCCCGAGGAATCTCCGGAAAGTTGAATTGTGCACAACTAGTAGGGTTGTCTCGAGGCAATTACTGTAGTTGGGGGAGGGTGAGTGTGGCGTAGATGAACACTACTCCCGTTGTTAGGAATGTCAGTAAAACCAACTATCTAGGTACTATACAACTCCGTTAAAAAAAAAATTTACTACTCCGTAAAAGGAATCAGAGTTCATAAGAGTGCTTCGCTATCCTGGGGAAGAGTAGGGCTCATGCAATGCAATGCGACGGGGATGACGGATCGATCCTCCACGAGAGCAAAGCTGTCCCTACGTTCGAGGGATGCGGGCGATCGGTGCCCTAACAGTCACCTGATGAAGAGGTTACCAAGTACTTCGTATCTACGGAGTACTCCGTACACACCAGGTATATTTTATACGGACAAGAAAGTGATATACATACCTCACCGATCTTGCATCTGAGAACGGACCAGATCGTGAACAGCCCCCCTCTTCCCTTCCCCTTCTCGTTTTCACTAAATCGGCTGATTTGCGGATTCTCCACCTACCTAACTAGAGCTTGTTTTTTTTTTTTTGGTCTCCGCATAGGTTCATGAGAGCTACTCAGTAGCGTGGCTTACTCAGACTATAAATACTCCCTGAGCAAACAATTTGACTGATAATCCTAACTAGGTTTGTACGGAGCATTGGATGGGAATTGATCAGATAAACGTTCGCAATTCGACCAAGATCTCTCTCATTCACCGCTTGTTGTTCAAATCATCTGTACCTTACCTGGCTTTCTTTTTTTTGCTTTTTTCGGTTTGGTTGAAATTTTCTGTTAGTTGGCATGTCAATCCTACGCAGATCTATCCTTTTTTTTTTCTCTCTCTCTCAAATTTTGGAAAGTAGTTGCATGCCAGAAACCAAGAGATTAGAAGCTACGAGATTGGGACAAACGTGCTGGTCAGTTGACAGATCCAATTTGATCTTCCCCCCTAATCATCCGCTAGGTCATATACTTCCATGAACCTACCGGAGGCTAGACTGATGAAGCCGGGTTTCTTAAACCGGTATTGGTTCCACGCTGACAATCCGAAGCGCAATCATGGCTTTTCAATATACGCGACCCCGTTTTGATCACCGTTAAGCTATTGACAGTAGGTCAAAGCGTTAGGTCGAGGCCCTTCTCGATACCCGGGGTATGGTGTATACGGAGGTATGCACAGCATAGTTGCCTTTCCGGCTCTTCCGTCGAAGCTATCAAGTTCGTTTTCTCCCCCTAGAAGCTTTCGAGCTGACAACTAGAAATACCATGATCGGCATGAGCAAACAGAGAGTTCTAGACCTTTTGTGGCCTGACTCGTCAGCCTCGAAAGTTTAAAAAGATTGGGGGAGAAAAAGCAATGCGAACACAGAAATCAAGCGACGGGCGAGAGTCCTATTAACATTAGAATTCCCGACCAGGATGCTGTGCAGGACGGAAGTGAGGGCAAGGGAAACATGCAAATCGGAATATCATCGAAACAATTGTCGATGCAAGGCGTCCTCGGATCGGTACACAGGGTCTGGTCTATGTTATACGGAGTTGCATGTACAGGGCGATAAGAAATCGCCTGATGCTGCATCCATTTTTCAAGTACTGAACTTGATACGAATTGACCAGGGGAGCTGATTGGTCTGATTTGAATACCCTTTTGGATTGCAAAGGCAGTAGCCGTTTTCTAGGTTGGAGTGATATGGACCCAAGTACGAGCGGACCGTTTAAAATGGCTTTTTTTATTTCGCAGGCGATGTAGGAATGCCATTAAATTTTTGAACTTTTGCGTTGATGGACAAATAACCTCATGTAAAAAAAAAAAGAAAAAAAAAGAAAAGGTAATCATAACAATGTGGGCTGGTCACTTCAAGGGCCACAAACTACCGAAGGTGCCAAGAATATCAGAAAAACATGGCGTTTTGCCTCGTGTGTGCCCCTGGGCTTGTGCAACCCCCGAAGCCTAACTCGA